GTCCAGCAGAGGCTAGGATTTATAATCTGCATGAAAAGAAATTGGATTTTATAATGATTAACAGTTACTTTATTGGTTACCCAGAAAAATCCAAAGGGTATAGGTTTTACTGTCCTATCCATAGTACAAGAATTATTGAAATTAATAATGCCAGATTCATTGAGGATGGGGAAACCAGTGGGAGAGATAAATCACGAAATGTGATTATTGAAAAAGTTAGGGATAAAGTCCCATCACCCATAACTTTTAATGATATTGTTGTTCCTACAGTTGCTGTACAATATGACAACGTTGAACAACAAATAAATGATCAATCACTCCATAATGAGGTTGTCACCATTAAACCGATTGTAGAAGAACCACAAGGGGTAGCATTAAGATGGTCTCAAAGAGAAAGAAGATCAGCTATTCCGGATGATTATGTGATATATCTACAAGAATCTAACTTTGATATAGGGACAACTAGAGATCCGATTTCATTTTCACAAGCCACAGAAAGTGATGATTCTACTAAATGGATTGATGCTATGAATGATGAATTGAAATCAATGGAACAGAATGAAGTCTGGGATTTAGTTGAATTGCTTGAACGATTTAACATAGTCAGGTGTAAATGGGTCTTTAAGACCAAACGCGACTCCTATGGAAATATCGAGCGACATAAAGCTAGACTTGTGGCCAAAGGTTTCACTTAGAAATGAGGCATTGATTATAAAGAGACCTTCTCTCCTATATCCAAGAAGGACTCACTTAGAACTATGATGGGATTGGTGGCCCATTATGATTTGGAGTTACACTAAATGGATGTGAAAATCACTTTTCTAAATGGAAGTTTAGAGGAAGAAGTCCATATGGATCAACCTGAAAGATTTCCACTAAAGGAAAAGAGCACATGGTTTGCAAACTTAAGAAATTAATATATGGACTTAAACAAGCTTCCCGACAATGGTACCTTAGGTTCAATGATACCATTACTTCCTTTCGTTTTATGGAAAAAACCGTTGATTGGTGTATATATCTAAAGGTTAGTGGGAGTAAGTTTATATTTTTCATTATGTATGTTGACGATATATTGTTTGCCAATAGTGATCTTGGATTATTGCATGACACCAAGAAAATTCTCTCTAAGAATTTTGAAATTAAAGATATGGGTGAGGCAACCTACATAATAGGAATTGAAATATTTCGTGATCGGTCAAGTGGATAGTTGGGGTTGTCTCAGAAAACATAAATTGATAAAGTTCTGGAGAGATTCAATATGGAGAATTGTTCAGATAGTGTTGCCCCAATTCAAAAAGGGGATAAGTTCAACCTTATGCAATCCCCAAAGAATGAATGGGAACATAAAGAAATGGAAAAGATTCCTTATGTTTCTGTCGTAGGAAGCCTAATGTGTACATAGACCTGCATTAGGCCAAACATCAGTTTTGCAGTTGGTATGTTAGGAAGATACCAAAGTAATCCCGGAATGGATCATTGGATGGTTGCAAAGAAAGTGATGAGGTACTTGAAAGGAACAAAGGAATATGTTCTCATATTTAGGAGTTCTGATCGTCTATAGGTTACTGGCTACTCAGATTTGAATTTTTCCAGATGTATAGATAGTAGAAAGTCCACTTTTAGTTATTTGTTCATTCTAGCTAGAGGAGCAATCTCATGGAAAAGTGCAAAGCAAACTGTCATAACTTCATCTACAATGGAACCTAAATTTGTGGCATGCTTTGAGGCTACAGTTAATAGATTGTGGTTGCAGAATTTTATCTCAAGACTTGGAATTGTCAACACTATTGCCAAGCTGTTGAGAATTTATTGTGATAACTTTGCAAGAGTGTTTTTCTATAAGAACGACAAGTATTCTAAAGGTGTCAAACAGATGGAATTGAAATACTTTACCATCAAGGAGGAAGTTAAAAATAAATGAGTGTCTATAGAGCACATTAGCACAGAGCTTATGATTGCAGATCCATTTACAAAAGGGTTATCACCAAAGACATTTAAGGAACATGTTAACAGAATGGGTCTTGAATATAACCCATGATTTTTACTTGGTGTTGGATTATTTCTTACATTTATTTACTAGCCACTTTTAATTTTAATGTGTTTTATGATATTTCTTGTTTCCATTATGTATGTACATATGTTAGAATTGGATGAATGATGACAGGAAGTAGCCTTTGGCAGAAAGCATTATTGTTGGACCTCTTTTATATACACTTCTCACTTATAGATCATGTTAGACAAGTTACTAGTGTTATGGTATATGGAAGGGACTATGTAATGTTAATGATGTACGACCGCCATGATCCGCATTAGTGATTTGTTTAATTGTGGTATTATGATGACCAAATTAAAGAGTGACGGATTGGATTTAATGTGTGCATATGTTAACCTTACGAGACCCAACTGTAAGATAATCATATGAGCCAAGTGGGAGAATGTAAGACTTAAATGTGGCTCACATGATTTTTTGGCACATGTCATATTTACTGATAACTAATTAATCGGTAAATTAGTTGGGTCAAGATAATGATAAGGGTGTCAATCCCAAGCTAACCGGGTAATTGATGCTTTCTAATTGGTTAATGAGAAATAGTAGTTTCCTGATATCCTACTTTAATAGACAGTGGAGTTCATGTTGATCTAGGAAACCGGTCCTCTCTCTACCTATAAATGTGCACATGCCCCATTAATTTGCGTATTTTACATTAATGGTTAGGAGATAGAAACTGTGTTTTCAAGCTACACCAAAATAATATTCTTCTTGTTCAAGAAACTAAAAGGTTTGCATCAATGGCTTTAGGTATGTAAATTATGATGTTTTAATTCTCAATATGAGTATGTGAAAATCATGATTGTTTTAGATCTTGGAATTAGGGTTTTGATTGATTTTTTTGCTCAAATAAAGTTTAAAAAGAGATCATCAAGAATATATTTTTTTTTTCAAAATCCAACACTAATGTTTTTAAAATCAACAACAAGAAAATATCATGTGTAAAACTTATATTTCTTGAATACTAGGATTTTAAAAACAAGAATGGTAGTTTCTTGAATATTAAACATATATTTCATTCAAAAAATCCTATAATTGAAAGAAAACCAAGGTACAATTATTATCTACCATATATCTATCATTTAGAGTTAAAACATGCATATATTGGCTTAATTGTACTGAAGGTCCTTAAAGTATGGAATTTATCTCATTTTGGTCCCTAATGTTTTAATTTGCATCATTATAGTCCCTGAAGTATTGAATATGTTTCTATATGGTCCCTTAAGCAGACATTGTCTAGATTGTTAATGATTTTTTATTATAAACTTGTCATATTATACTTAAATATGGACAAAAAAATAATTTAGATAACTCTTGACCAAATTTTTACTCAAATTTTGATTAAATACCTATCGAAATTACATAGTTTTGATTATGAACTATCCAAATTTTAGTCAAAAATTACACATATTACACATTTGTTTTGTCAAGAGTTATCCAAATTTTGTTTATAAGTTATTAAAATTATTTTTTGTCCATATTTAGCTATTACGCCACAAGTTTATGATAAAAAACCGTTAGCAATTTGGACATTGTCTGCTTGAAAGATCAAATAGAAACATATTCAATACTTTAGGGACCAAAATGATGCAATCGAAACATTGAGGACCAAATTGAGACAGACATCATACTTTGAGGACCTCTAGTGCAATTAATCCTACATATATATTATCCCTACCTCAAAGANGCCAAATTGAGACAGACATCATACTTTGAGGACCTCTAGTGCAATTAATCCTACATATATATTATCCCTAACCTCAAAGATTAAGTTTAGAAAAGAATCGCTACTTCAATTCGATGTTTAAAGATAACTCTAGCATGTTTCAATTAATCCCAACGCAAGAATTATTCTCATTCCTCCTCCTTTACTTCCCGTTAATCTCTCTAGGGTTTTCTATGATGAAAAATAAATAAAAACACTTTAGATCACGACCCTAGTGTATTTATAAGGTGAAAAATGGAGAAAATATACAAATTGATCAGGACCATTTTTAGTGAGGTGTTCGGACAATTCTTGGGACGGGACAGTACTAACTCTCTGTTTCCCTTAATTCCACTGAAAAATAAGATTTCACTTTTGAGATAGGCTTTTGGACAATGGAAACTTTATGTCTACCCTTTCGATTTAATTTTGACCTACTTAGAAACCGATTCATAAAATGTTCATAATATATATTGTTGTACCCTTTGAAGTTTGCTTTCTAATGTTCAAAAATTAGATCAATTATACATTGAAATAAAAAATTATAGCCAAAATATAAATGTAGTTTCTAATTTCTTTCTACTCGAATTTTTCCCAAAATGCATTTAAACTCTGAAATAGTTCTAAACTTCTAATACACATCATATTACCTCTCTAAAAGTTTTTCGACATTTTAAATTTAATGATGAAATTATTTTAACTTAAAAATATTTAAAAACTTAGAATAGATTATTTTTAGGCCGTCTTACCATGCGAATAGATTATTTTTAGAACTCCAACCTCAATCCCCGAGAGCAGCACAAGTGACAAAATTTGCGAACAGCAGCTAAAGTGTCTCTCTTCCAACATTTATAGCTCTTCCCATTACGCCCCATCCAAAAGCCAAACTTTTTAACCTGAGTGCAACTTTCCGTTTACCAACTAGAAGAAAATATACGCGTCTCCTGTATGAACGCAAAGCTCTCATACCTATTTCTATTTTACTTTTCCTTTTTTTTTTTTGAGAAAAAATAGAGAGAGAGGAGTAGAGCTTAAACACTTGACTTTAAAAAGATAAAATATTTATAAGATAAGAAATATTATTAAACTAAACATCTATTAGTAATTTTTCTTCTTTTCGGTAGTTTTTTTCCCCCTAAATTATAACTCAAGCTTTTTGCCAAAAAAAAAAAAAAATTATTACTCAAGCTTCCTTTCCTTTCATGATTTTGTTTTCATTATAGCCCTCCATTTTTCCTCATAATCATCAGAATTGTTTCCTTCGACTTATACACCTCCCTGAAGCCTTAGTTACTTTCGTTAATCGTTAGCCATCTCTGAGGTTGACCATGTAGTTCAACCTTTCAGAATTTCTCCAATTCAAAGGTTTCTATACTGCTCTCTCTAGCATTCTCTCTTTTTTTCATAACACTCTCGAATACCCACTTTTTCCTATCATTTATTGCTCTTTTTCTTGTGGGTTTTACTCGTATAGTCTTCCATTTGCTAATTTTGGCTTCTCTCAGCTCTGATTCGGTGCCTTGTATGATGGGTTCTTGCATATTTGCTAATAGACTATTATTTTATGGGGGTTTTAGTTTGGTCTTTCGTTAGAAGGTCTCAAGTATTTGCGAATTTTGTTAGGTGTGTTCTTGCTTCTGGTTCTTTTAGGTGAATATCAACTATAAATTTCTGGCAAGATGTCTTCTGAACAGCAAAACCCAATGGAGCTGGTGCTTTCTCGGGATAAAGAAATAGGTTCAAGGAATCATGAGAATGGCCCGATTGCTTATTCATTCTCCATAAGGTTATTAAATTAGAAGAAAGTTAGCTTTCGGTTTTTTTTTGTAACGTTCTAGTATGATCTTTGATGTTGCACTTCATGACCTGCACAATCCTTAAAATCATTGTGTTGAACTTTCTTGAAACTTAATTACCAAAATCTATTATCAGTGGATTTCCTTTGAACTGCACATTTCCATTTTAAAGTGTTCTCCGTTCAAGGGTTTTCGGGATTGATAGTGAATAAATCAAAATTTGCCTTAATATATGCTGGGTTACTTGGGTAACTAGCTTAAACTATAGGTATTCTGCTCAAGATGGGTCATTTTATGTCATTGAGTGCATGTTGTGATTTCAAGAACTAACCAAATAACCTCACCTACTCAAAACTCTTACTTACATCAAAGCGGACCCCCTTAACATCTTCATCGTTGAAGATGAAAATATTCCAATCACGTTCAAATTGCCCAAAATGTTCTTTTAAAGCATGACAATATCATCCTGCCAAGATCCCTACGAAAACAAGCGTAGGGGTTATTGGCAGCAAATTGTTGGCCAACTTCAATTCTATCACTTGCTTGATTGAAAGTTATATATGATTGCTTTACACTATGAAGTCTTCGGCTTGTTCAATTCTTTGGCAGCTAACTTTGATTAACTCTGTAACTCTATATGCAATGCATGCCATTTACTCTGTTGTTATTCCCATTATAACTCGAATATGGAGCTTTGTTCCTTGGGAAATCTGAAATACACCACTTACTTTTCTGCTGCATTAGCAGGTTCAAGTCTCTATCCATGAATCATCTTGCTTTTCAAGCTTATCACTATAGTTTTATGGGTTTTTCAGTCAGTTCTGCAATTTTATGTGTGATACAAGGAACAGTTTAATATCATCAACCCAATGATCATAACCTTACATTTATGGATGGAAAATCTGGTAAAGAAAATGCTTCCTTTTATCTGTGTCTTCTTTTATATTGCAGACAGCATGTTCTTGCTGCTCGTGAGAAAGATCTCTCTCTTAGTTGGCCATTTCCAGAGAGATACCTGTACGTCTGCCTAAAGAATGGTATAAAAAATGTGCTTCCACCTTTGGAAGTTTGTGACTCAACAACTAATCATTTGCAAGGAGAAGTAAGTTCAGCATGTTGTCAAGAAAAGCGAGAAAATGATGCTTGCAGTGAGACGAACAACGTTGAGATAGCCGGTGAAAAGTGTCTCAAAGTTGGATGTGATTCAACATGTAATGAAGCTATTTCCAAAGTTTCAACACAGCACAACAATTGGTCTTTCTCTAGTGAAAGCTGTAAGCATGGACAAAACAACCACCTTAGGTCTAATTCTGTTCTTGGCCCCTTGTTTCCAAGAATTCAACTGTCAAGTAACATCCCATGTTTGCATCCTCTTGTTGATCAGAGAACCAAAATGGTGACTACCCCCAAGAGGTTAAGACACAAGCAATGGAAACGCAAGGGGAAAGCTAAGAAGCGGTATCTGACAGATATTTTGGCTGTTGCAAAACGTTGCACCTTGAAGGAAGTGTGTAGGGTTGAAGGCTTAAGAATTGATTCTAAGAAAAATGCAGAGAATGTTAGTGACGGAAATATAGGAATTTCCATGACTGAAGATGGCTGTAAATCTGAGTTAGATGAGGAACAAGAAGAAAAACATCAAGTATTGACAAAGACGCTGTCGATGCCAATATAATGGGTCGGAAAAAGGCTAGTAGTGATGATTAATTCGTATGGATCTGAAGTTAAATAAATAGTTTGAGAAATGAAATCTACTAGACCAGTGGATATGAAAGTTGTTCTCTGCTACAATACTTACTGTGTATTAATTTTGTCTCTCTCTGAAGCCTTATTTTATGTTTGAATAAATTGGCACAATGGAATATACTCTTGCTAGCATTTGCATTTAAAAAATCCTTTCCAAAGACAACTGATGTTTCGATTACCAATGCGATAGGTATATTATTGTAGCTGAATCGTTCCAAAGAAGTTACAATTATTCAAGTCTTTTACAACAAATATAAGTAATTCATCTCCACTTCCTCAACCCCTTTTTATTATGACATTTGAGTTTCTACTAGCTACAATTCGAACACATTTATCCGCTGGTGCAGTTTCTTAATTGTAGCATTTATAACTAGGAAATGTTGTCTCGCTCTCTGACTCACATGTTTCGGTGTCCCAGCCAGAATAAACTTAATTTGGAATCCATAACGTAGTTGCAGTGCATTACAGGGAGAGTGGAGATGAAAATACAGCATTTAATTCTTTTTCTTGATTATCATATTAGTTTTTCGATGCATGAGCTGAATAACATGTTGCTTCATGTTTCAATTCATCGGTGTCCACAACTGAGGAGAGAATGAAATGGTGGGACGAGGGAGAAAAAAGGAACCTCTTGCTTTTCGAAATTAGCCCAGACAGTTGAACCAAATTTCAGTCTGGATGAATGCCAAATACATCCTATTGGACCTTCAGAGATCAATTGACAGTAATAATGCATGATTCAAAGATATGAATACAATTTGCGCATGTTTGTTATGAAAGATAAGTAGCTCATTTCACTGAGTCATCGTATCTTGGTATGGCCGAAGATTTCGTTGACAAATCTCAGCAAAAACAAAACTACTGAATTGACATTTTAGACACAATTAAATATCATCTGGATCACAATCAGTTATGGTAGTCCTAATAGAACTAAGTGGCATATTAGGTCTTTTGTATAATATCCGTGATCGTATCATACATTAGCTCCTAGTTAATGCTATGTTAAACAAGTTCAGGACAAAACTTTCTCATCTTTCTTTTTCCTGTAGATAATAGCTACCACCGCTTTAGGTTGATTAGTCCATCAGTTCTTATAAATATTTGTGCTTAACATCAACAAATATTCATGTATTACTTATGTGATTCATATAGAACCTGTTTAGTTATTACAAATCTTGAGATATGCTAAACTCTCAACAATATTTATTTATTTCCCTGGGAAATAAAAGATCTTCAACACTAAAATGATTGGTATAGGAAGAATTTTTCATAAAATATTTAGTCTTCGATCGGTGAAAGAAGCCACATGTTGTAAGAATCAGATCTTTTAGTCTGCTGGTTCACATGTGTACTAATTTCTTTTGTCATTTTGCCTATATTTCCTTTTTTTTTCAAAACATGGAAGTTTTCATGTTCCCCAATAACTAAGTTGAAGTTGAAGTTGAAGGAAATTTTTGCATGGGATTTTGTGGCATGTTCAAATATGAAAGAGTAGCTCAAGGGCAGAACTTAGAGTAGTGATAAGGTCGTTCGATTGTATCTTTGGTGTCACGAGTTTACATCAAAGAAATAGTGACTGTGCATAGAGATATACTTGTGCACAGTGGTAGGAACTGTATGCACTGAACTGCCACTGTTCTAAGTTATGGATGGTGGCTTGACTCAAAGTGGGTGGACTATGACTTGTGAGTGCCATTAGGGAGCATTTCAACTCCAGTTCTCTCGAAAGAAAACCCCTTCTACAGCAAACCCGGGATATGAAATTAAGTATCGGTTATTATTGAGTAGTATAGTCAAACAAAGGGTGCCTTTCAATACGTGACAGTATTTTCGGAAGAGGTAAAAAGATTGCTGTTTCCCTATATCTCATTCATATAGGGGAAAAATGGGTTGGTGTTATGACAAATGTTTAGAGTTAACTCATGTGACAAATTGAGAAAAGTGGTACTAATTTGTAATGTTCATTGCTGATGTCGTCATAAATCTTATTCTCTATTTCAAAATAACTCATAAAAAAACTGAATCCAATTTTCCAAAATTGAATTTTTAGCTTCCTTCTAGATGCTGAACAACTTTGGTGGAGGCAATTTTTCCATCCAATTTCCTTTCTTTCTTTGTGTACTCTCTTTTGTTTTTTGGTTAGACACTATTATAAAGGAGAGAAATAACGAGATTTGAACTCACGACCTTAAAATCTAACAGCGTCGGTTACATGTAATGAAATCACCAGACCTGTGTCCTTGTTGCGTGTAGTAAACATCTTGACAACAAAAATTTCATGTTGATCAAACTACTCTATTATCATCAGCTGCCAGATATAATGCTTAATTGATAAGCAGAAAATCTAGTTAAGCATTGTTGTCAAGAAAGAGTAAATAGAATATATATACTGCCTTGGAGGCATATTTTCTGTCCCAAACCCAGATACTTATCAACATCTTTCCAAAGCATTTTGGGATGTCTCCACTAAAAAACATGACACTTCTTGGGAATTCTTCACATTTTGGTGTAGGGTTATTGTTCAGTAGCAAAACTCCATAACCGAATTTGGTAGATTTTGGTCATGAAAGTCATCTGTTTGAAGTCAATAGTTTGTCTGGCATAGAAAGACACCCCCGGCCCAAAAAACACAAACACACAAATGATAATATCTCTAACTTTTACAAAAGACAAGTTGTATCTCATAGATTATGAGTCATTAATTAGCAGTAGTGTTAACTTCTTGTGTATATATGTAATTAAATAATACCATAAATGTGCTTTTGATAATATTTCATCAGCAGATCATTTGTTTACCAGTTAATCAGTTAAATCATTCAGTTCCTATGTGTATCTGAAAGATCAAAATTTAAGAAAATTCAGTGACTTGTGAGTAGAAATTGAGAAAACTTCCCTCTCATAGTCAATGTCCTAAGAAAACTAGTCTTTGGCAGGAAGCCTGCCTTAATGTGTCCTAAACTGAAAATCAAATTTAACTCGGTAGTCGAATAAGTGAAAAAAAAAAAACACAGATAAATTTTGGGAACAAATAATATTAGGAGCAATTATTCGGCTTCCTAGTCATCAACACAAGAAAAGGGTGTGAAAATCTCTTACTCAAGGTCTCTATATTTGGTAACATCAGCCTGAAAGTTTTCATGCACGAAATTTTTTCAGTCGAAGTTAGAAGTAAGTTGCTGAAATTTTCTCTATGCATCCTGTAAAATATACAATTATCCAAGGCCTCATGGTATACTCCAAATCTATAAATTACGAAAACAGTTCTACACGTGGTTTTCGTTGGAATTGTGTTATACTTGGTTTTTGGATAATAAGCAGAGAAGGATACAAGAAAGAGTGATGTTATACGATACAAATTTGTACACCAAATGATTGTTAGCCATTGGAAGATAGTGAGTCCCACAAATCCTAAGAACAACTCTAAGGGGCAGGGCATCAAAGGTGGCAACCCCATATGCCACCCCAAATTCAAAAATTTTCATTCTAAGGGGGGTGATACCAAGGGTTGAAAAATAATATCAAGGTTTTTGGGGTGACATTTTTGACAACTCTAGAGAGAGAAATGAAGAGGTTGCAAATGAGTTGATGAATATAACTCCGTTAGATGAATATAGATTCAATGATTCATATAAATTGATAAATAAAAATATAAAAATGACACACTATTTTGACACCTGCCATTGAAGTAGATTTATAATTAAGGGATATCAAAATATTGTTTAAGATTACAAATAAATGATTTAGCAAATGAAAACTCCCTTTGTTGTTGCTCTAAGGTTGACAATAACTTTATACAAAAATTTAGTGCGTAGCATTTGCGAACGAGAAATGGATCTGTCATGGTTTGGGTACTTGTTTCTATTTAAAGGTCTTCATTGGCAGAGAATTAGAAGACACGTGGAAGAATTGCATTTTAAGAACCTCCAACTTTAAGAGGCCTTGGAGAAATTGCATTTTGTTGAATGAAAGATTTTAAATTTTTTATTTTGTTCCCGAAAGATTAAAGTTGTATATTGTAGCGTAAATTTAATTTCTTATAAACAGTAGCAATGTGCCCAAAATGAGCATTCCTCTTGTTTTTTCTTTCATGCAATGTGTTGCGTGAAGAGATGAAAAATAAATGGTATGTTGCTTTGTGGTGCAGTGCTACTATTAAAAGCAATTTAGCATATAATGTAAGATTTTTAATTATTAAGGAGGCAAAATAAAAATTATTAAATCCTCGAATAGGAGCAAAGTGTCATTAGCCACACAATCTTGCGCATTCTTATAGCCTTGGACCGTACTTTAACAGTAACGTCGGTGGTCGAAGACAAGGATGTCTTGACTGCATCTTACATCCTACTACCAATAATTTAGATTTTTGTGCNCGTACTTTAACAGTAACGTCGGTGGTCGAAGACAAGGATGTCTTGACTGCATCTTGCATCCTACTACCAATAATTTAGATTTTTGTGCATTTATTGTGTTGCTTTTGTTAAAATTTCAATTGTCCTAAACTTATCGGCTAACCTTCTGATAGAGTTTATATACTAAAATTTTGTTTTTTGGAATTAAACTTAGTTTATTATTTAATAAAAGTNCCTTCTGATAGAGTTTATATACTAAAATTTTGTTTTTTGGAATTAAACTTAGTTTATTATTTAATAAAAGTTTTTGTTTCCTATTTCAATGAGAGTCTACATAGGTAAAATATTTGTATTACATTGAATATATGGTACGAATGTGTCTTTTATTTTATATTGTAGATAATCTAATTGTAGAATTCTGATTATACACAGAAAATCAGATTCTCAGATCCTTGCATGATAAAAGTAAATGTTTACAGTTTTAGATGGAATTACACACACCATCAGTAGGACTGTAGTACAATCTTTTGGCATAGACTATATTGTCTATAGGAGATTATCTGATGTCTCGAAATTTTGCATTAGTACATTTCGTGTATTGGACAAGACCATTATTGAGGTTATTTTTTTAACTGGCTAAATAAGAAAATAAATATCTCATAATTATTATGATTGTTTAAACTCTTAATCCTAAGATATTTAATTGACATGTGCATATAATGATTGTTATTTTAATTCATAAAAGAGTGAAATTTATATTTGA